AGAGCCGCAGGCTAACATTCGCAGCTCATTGGTACCCGGAGTTTATGTCACGCTCATTTTCAGCACATCAGGTTCTGTGGCATTATTTGTAGACCTTGTGGCCTTGATGTTGTCTGCCCGGCCATCTCTGGCTCACAACCAATGGTTATCATTAATAGAAGGCTGCATCTTTGATGTCCGGGCATGTCGAGGCGAGAGCAGGAGCTCAGGTCGTACGCAAGACCCCCGATCTTCCGCGACTGACAATGTGTGTCTTCGACGGCTGCGTATCTGCTGATAGATTGAGGATGAGGATTGTTCATGCCGCTCCGTGGGCCCTTCCGACTGACGAGTGAATTGATCCAAAAATGATGATTTGCCCTTTCCTTGGGTTGAACAAGTCGCGCATGCTTTTTCCATCCTCAGGTCGGAACAAAATTCGCATCGGGCCTTTGTTTCATGCTTATTTGCACAGGTATCCGTAGTTCGCTCACGGATCAGTCGAATATGAATGACATGGGGGGGGGGCCCAAGAAACGGTTTTTGGGCCCCCCCCCTTGTCACTGTCGTCCATCAACGATTTTGCCAAATGCGCCCTAACTCTTTCTCGCAATTTTCACAAAGCGTATGATTTAGGCAGAGCGCCAAAATCTATCTCTTCCATCCATTTTAAAAAGTTCAACTGATCAAGAACGCAAACTCTGTTTTATAGAGATGTTGTATGACTTTGGCAGAAATAGTGAGTAGATCTGGCTTGGGTGCTGGTTCGACGCTCGGACCATCGCGACAACGCTGATTGGCAGCAACTGACAGGGGAGGGGGGGCAGCACCAGGTGTTGCCCCCCCCTTGTCTTTCTCTTGCTTAATTATCTATTGGCTACCCTACCCAATTATGGAGAAGAGCATGGCTTACTAAGGGTTTTAGTGTGACAAGGGGGAGGGGGCAAGAAGCAGTTCTTGCCCCCCCCCCCCCCCCCCCCCCTGGTCTAGCGTGTACTGGTAGGGTTGTCCCCACCTGCCCCGGACGAGTTCAGCAAGATTTCTGGAAGACTCATAGAGAACTAAGCTCATATTCCCCCTTGATAACCGTCGCCAAAAGATTTCTTCTCATTCCTGTGCTATCCTTCCATATCATTTTACTCTTATTTTTGCATTTGACAATTTGCCCCCTGAGGCAGCGCTGGTGTCGGAAGCCATTGCCGCTGGCTCCCCCTTTTAAATCATGCCTTTCCGCAAATCCCAGCCAGAAAGCAACTCGGGACGGCTGCCGAATTTGCAGCAGGCCTCTCCAGAAGAAAACAGACGAGAACACGGCATTACAATCATTCCTTCTAATCTCTCCCACTCGTTGTTCCTCTCTTACGGCACCTAGCCCCGGGCGGAACCTACCTTCATTCCATTACGAGTGCGCAACCTGGAGCCCACAAGGCAGGTCATGCTGTTCGCCCTCAAACCTGTCAAAGATTTCCTAATTACCCTTTCTCATCGCACACAGCAGGCATCTTACGACCAAAAACAGATATTATATAGAATGTTTTGGATGGGTGGAGCGAGGAAAGCCATTCAAAACCAAAGCTCCTGCTTTTCATAAGGCTCACTCGCGTCACCCTGCTCGATAGTGCGCATTAAGATAATACCTGGATGTGAATGGTCTCCGAACGTCAAGCTTTCGCCGTATTTGCAGTGATTCGACTTGATGAATTCGGGAATTACTGCACCACTCATCAATGGTTCACCCTGTCTACGAATGGTGTTTATTGCCAGGCCGACTTTGGCCATGAGCCCATTGTGAATCGATGTCCAAGTCCGAACCCACAATGAGTTTCTTCCCACTTAAGAATATTGAGCTTGGTAGAGGTTCTCTGAGCGTGCTTTTGCATAGCTGAGTCTAATGAAATTGCTCTTCTACGTCATCAATGGGTGGATTGGAAGGCATTCCCAAGCGGCGCGCATATCGCAAAACACAAATAGTGCAACACGAGCTTCATAGTATGGTTGACGTAGTTTCGTGTTGCTCTCGACCAACTTGCGGGACATAGAACGCGGCGCAAATTTCTTCTTGTCGCAACATTGAACCTGGAAGCCCCTCTCGACAGTATTTAAACTTCCCCACCCGGACGATGGCAGACGTTTCTGCGCATCTCTTTAAATTCTCGTTCTACCCCTCCGCCATCACGAAGAAAAACGATCGATCAACATGTCGCTTTCATATGAAGCTATCGTTGCCATACTGTTTGGAGTACTAGGCTTGATTATGTCTGTCATCTCCTCGGTCTTGACGTACATCACTTTGAGACAGACCCTCAATGCTAGATCCCACCTAGACGACGTTGAACACCAGCCGAGAACTGCGATATATCCAAGTATCTGCCCCATTCTCGATTCCAGCGTTGCGGCAAGCTTCCCAGCGACACCATTCATCGTCATCGCGTGCGCTTTCCAGATTTCCATCGATCTGAGAGTAGGATCTACCTACTCTAGGACGTCAGCCGCGATTAGGCGGCGTTCCAGTCTATCACCTTGATATCACGCTATCAGTCAGTCCGAAGCCCTCATATCTTATGTATCGTAGAGACTCTATAGCCACTAACGATTGCGAAGAACACCTAAAAACACCCTCAGACTCTGCAACATGCTCAACTGGCCTCTATCACCATACGAGGTGGTACATAAAGCAACCTAGCTTTTCCAAGACATCGGGTTTAATGTCCGGGAAGATGGCGTCTTAGTTGTCGGCTTTGGACGGGCTCTGTTTATATGGAAACATTTGTTCACAATGGCGTATCCTTGAGAAGAGTGCATCGTTTCTAGAACCCCTAAAGAAAGTGAACTTGTAGTGCTCATGCATTACACAACGGTTTCGATTAATAACCGTGACATTTTCCTGAGTCTCCAGTGACCATTCCTTATTGAAAATGATGTACGGAAAAGCGTCGTTAAGGATTAGCAGTTACATAGGAGCTTATTGATACGAAGACGAATGCAACAAGTTGCATTCCATAACTATCGCCACGGCACAACATGGTAGAAGGTTTAGGCAAAATCGATGACTTCGTGTGTTCAGTATTCGTCAATTCATGATTTTAAAAGGACGAGTACGATTGCAGATGTTATCCGTCAAAGCTTTCCCAGCTTGCCTCATCCTTTTACTCTTCATAGTATGATGGATGGTAATGTTTTCAAGTTTTGCGAGCTAAAGCTGCACGAGCTGTCCAGATAGTTGCAGACTTGGCGCTCGTTCAAGCCGGTCGTTGAAATGGGTCGTTTAGGAGAGGGGTATTTGTGAGGATAAATTCTATGTCAGTTAGCGGATTGCATTGCTGAAGTGGATAATACAGAGGGGATAAAAGAGGCACACTGAGCAAGGTTTGTGTGTCGGGAAGATGGCATAACCTGAGATCATGCAACTTGAGTTGTTGTAAGCCCTTTTTATTGTGGTCCGGAATTGAACATCTCCGGACTTCGGGATTCAGGTTGTCCAAAAAAAATCACTTTTTGGACAGGCTTCGGGATTCAAGTTGGGCAAAAAGCACTTTTTGCCCAACTTGAATCCCGTATTTATGGGGTCAAGTACATGCTTAGTAGCCATTGACGCGGGGTTGTCACGCGCGTGGCTGGAGTCCGCATCATGCGTGAAAGGTCATCGTTTCAACCTCGAGATTAACTCTTCCAATTTGTGATACTATCCGGAGTTGAGGCTTGCGGTCGGACCATGGTATCGCGGAAGTGGCCCGTTCCAGGCCGGCCCAACGTCACTCCATCATGGGTAGCGTCTCTGCTCCCAGCCCCAGCGTATCGCGTTCTGTCATCGAGCAGTCTATCTGCAGCCAGAAAAACTCTCCAAGCTGGAAATTCACATAACATTTTCATATCACAATAAAACGTCGCTTTCCATCCGGATCCTACCCCAAACGTCCATTGATTTCTAGAACGAAGTGGGTTCAAAACATTTTCAATATGAACAATGCCATTCAGATTGCTTTCTTCTCTCCAGCCTCCCGGAACTTCGGTCATCGACATCCGATCCGCTATCACTGTCAAGAACAAGCCCCTACAAAGCCTCCACCATTTTGGAACATCATCTCTCACCGAGAATACCCCTATTCAGCGGCCATCTGAAAACCCTCACGGAGCTTGATGGACCGCAGGTGAACACTGGATTGTTATTTTAAGCGGATACAGGCCAATGTCAGCACCCCTTTCACAATTCACCCAAATCAATTTCGTTGTGTCGGAGCCTCTCTAAGGTGTGCCGGTCGTTCTTCGATCACTGGCTCCTCAAGTATCAGTCTTATTCCGCGTCCGTCGAATGGCCATAGATAGTCGAATCGAGACCGCCGCACTCGAATGCAGCAACACCAAGCTCTGGAGGATACACGAGTACAGCTAGTGGCAGCAAATCGAATCCGCAGCGCGCCGTGACATTTGATTAGGCTTCAGTTGCAGGCCATCTCGCTCCGATGGTTGTGTCTGGGTGGCTGAGAACCAACATCAGCGTTTATGCATAAGCAACAAATGCACAGCCGCCACATTCGAATCATATGCAGCAAGTGGCATGTACCTACACTCTAATGGGCTAGTGAAGCAACCATGATGTCCATTTGAGGCATAACGCCAACAAAGTGAAGTCTTCTGCATGAGCATGTAAGACATTGCAAGGACGCATGGATTACGGGAGTAGCGGGCTGGGTGCTATCCCACTGCTGAGGTCTAAGGTAGAGTGCTTTCGACAAGGATTGCAGAAGCAGTACCCGCCCCTACCTTATCGACCTGTCGCCTCTCTTTTTTGCCTTAAAGCCCTCTGGGGTTCAGCGACGTCGTCACACATCGCCTCTTATTTCAGCTGTCCGCTCCCCACGACATCGACCCGAACTCTGCCCATTCCAGCATCGGCCACTCCTCTTCCAGCATAACATAAGTAGGGTAGTCTCCTTCAAAGCACCACGAAACCTCCAAGGAGATCAAGGAGAAAAAGTCATCCTTTTCTTATACTCTTGATTTGTTCCTTTCTACGTTTCAAGATGTCAATCTCCACCGAAGTCATGATCGCTATTGTTTTTGGTGTGCCAAGTCTTGTTGTTGCTATCGCCTCAGCTGTGTTCGCCTACATCTCTGTTACTCAAGCGCGCGGAAGAAGGCCAACTGAGGATGCTGAGATGCGACCATTAGCAATTTCTTATTTCCCAGCAATATATCCTGACGGCACCAATCACTTCTTCCGCAACTTCCATGATACCCGAGCCGGCGGACCGTGGCCGCCCTCGCATTTCAACGTTGCTGGGGGGTACCACTGGCCTGGACGGCCCCAGTGGTAGCTTCGTATGCCCCGCCTACTGAGCCCCACGATCCCGGGTACACTCCGCACTCAGGTAAGTTTGGAGATTACGACTGGGGACATTACTGTCATTCCCGTTAGAACCAATGCTTTCAACGTGCAATCAATCTTGATTGCTGAAGTGTTCCAATACAATTACTAATAATCTCTGGTAGCAGTAACATCTTGTACCACCAAATGCACTGGCCCTACACGACAGCCCCGAGACACAGCGCATGCTCAAGCCTGTTAAGATTATATAACTTCCTCTTGCTGGACAATTTTACTGAGCGATGACTCAACGGCGCACCAAAAAGTTGATGTCGCATGGCGATTGCAGGGAGTGGGATGTGGTCAAATGAGGACACTGGCAGATTCCAATGCTGTAGGGATTGCATCAGGCGACAAATAAAGGGTTCACTTGCAACCTATCCGCCAGCCAATTCGAACAATCAGCCACACACACTCACAATTGACTATTTTCCCTAGCCTTGACCACTAAACCTTTGAGATCACATGCAGTACTGCGATGAGGGCATGAAAGCTTGGATATATCTCGTGACATGGAGTTGTGATGTACGGCTTTTCCTTGTCCTAGAGTACTTACGGGTACCTGTAAACCCTGGAGCGCACAACAAGGGGTCCCTTCCGGTTTCAGCGGGAGCGGCCGCACGCGCTAAGAACCTTGCTCAACCAAATGTCCGGATTGCGTCCCTAAACGACCTAACGATGGCTTCCAGATTAGCTCCTCGGCGATGTGCTAATTCATCTGTATTTTTCCTATCTAAGATGATTTGATGGGCTGCTCTTACTGCCATGTGGTCATTGTCGCGGAGAGGCTATCTGGGTACGTTTTATGCTTCAACCAGTCAAGCACTATCCTACAACCACCTTGGCTCAATTACCTACCTTAGTACCTAGTTAGTGTGAGCCCCTGCTGAGTCAAGTCGAGACTCCAGACGACCGTCACAGAAAGGATCAAAGTTGTAGAAGACCAGACGCAGCATTAGAAGGAAATACGAAGGCGGAAACAAAATACGTGTCTGAGATCCAAGGGCTTATTATTTGATATATGATCGCGTTGTTTATTAATGGTTCATCTGATGATTTCGCTGTTCAGGTCCGGCCGTTAGTGGAGTGCGCTGATCATCGTTCCGCGAGGCCTAAATCCACTGGCCAATTAGAAGATCTAAACATGCTGAACTTGGTATGGAATCGGCGAGCACGGTTCAAGCAGATTTTCTGCCACCAGGATGTCCTGGTTAGAACACATCTACATCTACATAGTACTCACGGACGGAGTATCGGGGGATTCATTACTTCGATTGATTCGATTGACTTATGTCGAACAATATAGACAAGTACATTGGCTCACCCTCAGATCTGGCCAACATGTTGTACCCGGCACCACCATCTGACAGATAGGAGCTGCGCACTGCTACTCGCGCTAAATCGACGCTGCGATCCACGTCTCCCATCCATGTGAGCGCGGAGCTTCAATCTTGAATCAAAACGTCGCCTGTTCCGGCGAATCATACACTCTCTAGAATAAAAACTTGTATACCGTCATTCTTATTAGTCCGGAGCCGATCAAGGGCTGCCCGTCTCCGGATTATGAACCGAAATAGTGGGTATTGCCGTGCGGTGACCGGCCCGCTTGTGTGCTTGTCCTGCCTGTGGCCTGTCGTGTCTGTGTTGCCTGTGCTCCCCAATGCTAGGTTTCCACGTTGATCACCGAAACACGGAGAGTCGACTTCTCCAACCCGAGGACCAACTCTTTTGAAGATAGCAGCAAGTTATCAAAGCCATGGCGGTGAGAGCCATAAGATTTCCACCTCTAGTGTCTGTTACTCTGAGACCACTACATCGAGGTCGAAGTCCCGGGGTCCCCAGCACTCCCAATCGCGGGGTTCAAGTTGGAACTGACTTTTGCCCGTTTGGCCGCAGCAAGCAACGATGCTTGGGACGCGATAAAAAAGTAGAAGGTGTTTCCACCGTGACCAGTTCATGTAGGCGTCCTGGCCCGCGATGTCACCGTGCCCAAATCGACGACGAGCAACACCACCGGATCCATCCTCAGAGCATCCTCACCTGCCCACTCCAAAATCGTAACTACCCCAGGAATTTTTCTCTCTGCGTCCTGCCCCACGGTCGCTCGAATACCGCGTGTGAGATCGTCCAAAGCCGTAGTAGCTGTTCGTGCTCGTGGGTTCGCGATATGGGCGTGAGTCACCACCTGAGGATGCCAGGGCGTCGTTTTTGACCTGAGTGTCGGACGTATCGAGCGTGGTTCGGCGGAAGGTGGAAAGTCGCTGGTGGCGCAAGAAGCGAATTCGCCGGTTATGTAGGAGGATGCTCGGGGAGCCCGAGGGGCAGTGACGAGAGACGCATACACTGCCACTCGTGTTCTGCACTCGAGGGCGTCGCGTGCATGGTTGGCGGCCGCCGGCCGGTTGACCTGGATCCTCCGACCCAATCGTCGTCAACGAAACGATCACCCACGAAACAAGCTAAACGAAAGGATGATTCGATGGCAGCACTTTATGGTCTCCTCGTGTGGGATTTCCCCTGCCCCATTGCCTTCATTCTCCCACATACCGAAGCAGGCAACGTCATCAACTGCTGGCCTGTAAAACGGCTGGTGCACTCACCTTGGCGGGGTGGGAAAGACACAGCGAGGGACTCGCGAGGCCTATTTCCTAGGTACTGTCTGTCTGCACTTGAGGTTTCATCACCAGCTTCAGCATGATGGCGACTTAACTTAGCTGTCCTTCCCAGCATGCAATCAATGGTTTTGTTGCCAGCTAGAACGAGGCGATGCTCCATAGCACGGCAAATGTTTTGGCGACAAGCTCGACAGCAAGCCTGACCTCAGGCCGTTTTCAGAGATCAAATAGCTTCGTCAGTTCCCTAGGCGAGCTGGTAAAGCGAGCACGTATCTCGTCAGGGGGTCGAACAGTCCCATCCGAGATCCCCATACTGGAGGCGTGACGTTCTCCGGAGGCGAAAGAGACGCGTACCCACGCCGAAGTCCCTTCTATTGCTTCGAATTCCCCGTTCCTCGATCAGAGCGCCGCCTCCTGTGGTGCGGTGGCTGATGGCTAATCCACTCGCTTGCCCGTAAATGGTCATTTACCTCTGGGACGTTCACCCAATAAAACTTGGCAGGAGGTGCTGGATGAACGCAATCCCAAATACCCTGACGTTTTGCAGGTCAACCGCCGCCCGTCAACCACCACTAGTCAAGACCACCCACTACCCTGCACTTCTGGCCCCTCCAGCTCCTCTCCATTTTCTCAGTCGTAGACATGGCGCCCCGCGTGTGATGCGCGCGCCGTGAGGACTATGTAGGCCCAATCCCTTCCGTGCTGCAGTCCGAGCCAACGCGCCTTACCCTTATGTACAGGGTGACATTTTGTGTACGCCCGTTAAACCCGGCGCCGCACTCCCGGCGCTATCTACGTAGGCACTCTGCGCAAGGTAAACTGAGGTGAGTGCCGGATTGAAACCTTACAATGCCTGCCCAAGTCGCCCCAAAAGCACCTTTCCACAATCGCACACGGCCGCTATTTTGCCGGCCGTGAAAGCGCCGGCCCCACTTCGGGCCGACTTGTCAAGATCTCCGGTCGCGGACAGCCTTTCCTAAGGTAGGTAGTAATTTGGAGCTGCGTTTTCTCCAGGCTCTAGAATACACAACTAATCCATTCGATTCACGTCGGCTTGCGAAGCCTGGGAATTGATTCCATGTCTGCACTACGCTGTAAAGCGACCTGCAGCAGACCACTGCCGGGAAACCACATTTGGTCTGAGTTTGACCTCGTTTCTCGGGATTCGCTCTCTCAATGTCAAGAGCAGCCGGCGTCGCAGACAACCCGAAGACCATGGCACTGGTGATTACAGCTTTTAGATTGTTGCTCCTTCTAAGGATACGTACCCTACCACACTTCACCCCCCCTCCCGTCCGTTTCTTCACACTACACCCCTCCCCACCCCTCCCGTTTGCACTACGCCCCTTCCCACCCCTTCCCGAATCACGTTCGCGTCTTCACCCTTCACCCTTCACCCTTCACTCTGCACTCTGCACTCTGCACTCTGAATAGCAACCACGCTAAAGTCAGTCGCACCTGCGTCCCTCCTCGCCAAATGAACCACTGCAGCATCGAGGCTATTTGCATCAACCACGCCAAAAATGCTTGACAGGCAAAGATTGCTTGACAGGTCAGTCACCGACGTCCCTGTCCTCCCTTAGCACCGGTACTGCACAGTACCCCTGAAGCAGTCGCCGCCAGTCTGGGCCTCCGTCCCTCGTCCAAGCAGGGTCTCTGTTCCTGGCATGACGACATACCTGTCCAGACTTCGATAACACTGAACTCGCGAAGAAACGCCTCTGCATCTCTTCAGCCTGGGAATCATTCGCCGCCGCGTCTCGACGCCCCCACGTACCAATCCGTACGGTCCACTCTCGCTCCTCATACAAAAGCTTCTGGTTCATAGAAAGCTCCTAGAGCCAGGGTCAAAGCCAGACGCTACGATTCCAAAAGCCCAGGAATTAAAAGGTAAGATCTGGATGACACTGATTGAGGCCCGCATTCATAGGGCAAACTTGCGGGACGTCGCTGGATCATGATCGGATGTTACCTTCCTGCAAGAAGGTGGACCACACAGCTTTGGATTGGATTGTTAGTGGATGGTTGTTACTGAAGTACCTTGTCAAGTTCAGACGGACAAGCCAAGACGGTGCCGCTCCTCAGCTGCCACGGCCCACGGCGCGCCATCAAATGAACCGCCCCGGGGAGAGGGGTGTGTTCATTCGTTGCTCCCACTCAACTGGGACAAGCCTGGGTAACGGCCGGCACGTATGGTCGCCCGTTTTCACGCCCACTGTACGTACTTTACCTCACGTCTAGTCCCTTCAGGCTCGAGCCGTTCAGTCAAGGTGTGGAAGGTTCAAGTGGAGCGAGTTTACTGCAGAGTGCTAAATTCTGAGACAGGGGCAACAGCTGGTCTGCTTGGCAGTCTTCAC